ATTAGTAATTTAGCAAATTATAGATGTTCTTGCAGGTGTTAGCTATGGCAATGATATCAGTTTCGTCTGCTACTTTTTTAAATTTTCTTAAAATAAGGTCGAAAAGGATAAGTTCAGGAGCTGCAGAAATGTATGCAAAACAGTGCTAAAAAGTCACTTTTTTTTTCTACTAATTCAGTGATTATTTGAGACTAAGAGAAGGAGTATGCGCAGCAGAGATCCTGTCGTTACCTCTCTTCCTCTCTCCTCTTTGATATCGAATAAAAACAGTCAGAATATAAGTATGCATTATAAACAGCGATAATTATAAAACAAAGTACAACAAAGACTGCAAAACTTTCAAGAAAAAAATAAATAAATAAATAAATAGTTGCCGATCGTAAAGACGATAATCGCCAAATTTGATTGAAGTCATTTTGAAGAGAAAAGCTATTTGTAGGCACAATTAATGTGCTTTGAAAAAAAATCTATGACTTGAAGAAAAACTTAAAGATCGATATCGACGTTCTAAGAAGCTTGTTGAGGTAGTTTTTTGTTTTGCTGGAGCATTTGGTTTTTTCGAATTATCAACTTCAAAAAAAGGCAGTTTTGTACGACAGTCGTTCACTATTTAAGCAGTTAAGCTAGTTTTCTTATTTGGCAGAAAAAAAGTTCTTTTATGCTCAGCTTTATGTGTACTTAAGATGCAAGAAGTCATTGACACAGAACTATAACTTACGCCTTCTTAACAACTTTTTTTCTTTGATAATCAATACAAATTGAAACAGCGCAAAGTTTGAAATTTTAGAGATGGAAATATTCATAAAAGCAGCAAATGAGTTAGTTATTTGAAAAATAAATTGAAGAATGTTCAGGAAGCATGAAAACAGAATAGGATTTAGTTAGTGTTCATTGAAAGTGAGCAAATTACATTAGACATCCTTGTGATGGCCGAGCAGCAGCTTAGTCAGCCACTTCGAGAATATGTCCCCTCTTAAACTAACATCAACTCAAACAAACTAAATACGCAGTTACTCAACTTCAACAAAATATCTCCCAGATATATCCCAAAAATAGAGAAGGCTACGTTTCCTTGCTGTTTCGTTCTGTTGACTTTACTAGAAACTGAAAAAAATTTGCCTGATATTTTATTAAAGGAACAGATGGAGTGTTGATACAGGAATTAAATAAAACAATAACTGAAAAGGATCTGCTAATTTATATAATCTCTTCAGTTAAGAATCCAATAACAACGATGACTGATAAAAAAAATTTTCTCTTTAGTATCGTTTCGAAAGTGTCGTAGCAAGTTTATTTTTACACGTAGAAGAAAATATACGAACGTAAGTTAGTGATCGAACTGCAAATAAATAAAAACAAGTTTACTGCTTTTAAACTAAATACTAGTCTAAGCACATGTGCTTTGTACGCGTGAACAAACATTGGAATAGTACCAAATATGCGGTCAAAAAAAAAGACGATGCAAAAAAAAAAAAAAAAAAAAAAAAAAAAAAAAA